TTATTTACTTCTATATACAGCTTATTTTATATCCCAGGAAACTGAAATATGGATTTTAAATGGTAGGGGAACTTATTTTTGAAACTTCACCAATGTTTCTGGAAACCCAAGCTATTGCCTGGGACAGAATACATTCAATAAGCAATTATAAATTAAATAGATTACAATCTAATACCTGAGTATCAGTGATCCATAATTAACCTTGATTTCTCTGGAAATATAGGGCTGTGGTTAAAAAAATGCTTTTTACTAGCAAAAAGAAAATTAAAATATTCTTAATTTTCTTCAAAGAGTCTTGAGACTAAAGAGTCAAGATTCTCCTAACAGAAGAAACCTGGAGTATCTCTGGAATGTCTACGCTCAACATAAAGTTGGTAACATGTAAAAGGTGCCCAAGAAATGTCCATGAACAGAGCTGAACTAATGGAATTAAATTAATAATTGCTGAGGATTATACTACAACATTTTCTATGCTCATCTACAGACCAAGCATCTAAGGCTATGTGAGTTCAGGCTTTTACTTACCCATGGGCATCAGTTTCAGCACCATCATTGGGTAGGCATAGTTAGTGCAACCAATGTCAACACCACACTGCTTTACACACTCAGAAGGCACAACACAGGCCACCATATCTGAGGAGATATTCAGAGATGAGGTCAGTGAGCTAGACTCCAGAAGGCATAGTTTGTAACCATTAGACAAAGAGGTAAGCTCATAGGTGGGAGAAAAGACCCTTGCCTGGAAATGGAGATTCATTTTGTTAAAATTTTATGTCAAAGGCCTGGTACCTCTTTCCCCAGACCACAATGTTGTCATTTTCTCATTTTCATACATCTCAATGGACCCAACAGGCAGGTCTGTCCCTTAGGTGTGGCCCAGCTAAAACTTGAAAGCTTGTGGGAGGAGCTGATCACTCTCCAGAATTCCATGGAAACCCACTGCTAGGGAAGCAGCTGATACTCTTCACTCTCCTTCCTCGCCTCCAAATCCAATCCCCTAGTCTCACCCCCAGCTCTGTAGCATATCACCTGTCATGGCCTCCCTTTTCTCTCTGCTCCCATCTTTAGTGGATCTTGCAGCCTTCCTCACTACCCCATCCCTTTGTCTCAGCCACAATATCTGGAGGCATTCTCTAGAATCCTGCCCGTCACAAAGACCAGTGAATCAGGGAGACAATTTTCACTCTCCCTCCTCTGCTCCAAATCTAATTTCCCCATCCCCATCTCTGAAGCAGACTGACTGTTCTAGCCTCTCCTTCTCTACCTTCATTCTCAAGGGACAACAACGATCCTGGTGGCACATGCTTCTTTCTTCCCTCCGGTAGACCTCCTCACTTACCTTTCTATCTCATTACCATTCTGTCATCTCCCAAAACCTAGAAAGACATTCCACCCAGGACCCCAGTGTCCACACTAGGCAGGCTCTTGAAAACACTCCTTCCCAGGCAACTGACAGCCACCACACTCCCCCAAGAACCAGAGAAAGCACAGAAACTAAGGGACAAAACACTCACCAAAGACAAGAACAGATATTAACATCAAGAATTACAGTCTTCACAAACCCAGATGCCTAGATACCAGCATAAAAACACAACCAATAACAGCCAGGGCAATATGTCTCCACTAGAGACCAGAAATTCTACTAAAGTGTGCAATAGAGCCAAAGCACAAGAAAAAGACTTCAAAATAGCCGTTGTGAATATGTTAGAAGTTCTTAAAGAAGATATGAATAAATCTATTAATGAAAGCTATGAAGCCACACACACAAAGCATTGGCATGAAACAAAGGAAACAGTTCAAAATACTGTAGTGGAAATAGAACCAATGAGAAAACACAAACTGAGGGAAATCTGGAAATCAAAAATTTAGGAACTTTAACAGGAACCTCAAAGGCAAGCCTCACCAGTTGTCTTAGTTAGGGTTTCTATTGCTAAAACAAAGAATGACCAAAGAGCAAGCTAAGGAAGAAAGGGTTTATTTGGCTTGTACCTCAGCATTGCTGTTCATCACTGAAGGAAGTCAGGACAGGAACTCAAAACAGGTAGGATAATCTATCCTTAATAGCCATAGTGAATTATTGTGCCAAATATGAAAAGTGGATTGAGATGATACAAGCCTTAGAAAGATGTATAAATGAAAATAAGAAAAATACTCAGACACAGACAGGGGAATTGAGACAAGAACCTACAGTACCACTGCATGATGAAACTGAAGAAGGGTGGGTGACCCAAGGTTATTAGAAAGCCAACCTCAGTTTATCCAGTAACTATACAGGAACTACTAGGAGATGATAGACACCCACAAGGTTATCAGGAAGTTAAATGGCATCTGACAGATATACTAGATTTGGGGAGATTTTAGAAAGCAGTTCCTATATGGTATACATTCAGCCCATGTGAAGCAGATGTTAAATTCCTGGTAAACTCAG